AAGCTTACTTCAGTTTCAGTGGTCTCTCTGTGCTGCTTGTGTTGCTACTTTTGGTTTTTACCCTTGCCTGCTCTGGATTTTTGACTTGTGTTTTGTTTTGACCCTGTATGGATTTTGGCTTTGCTCCTGCTTAGTGTTTGTGCTTGTTTACCTTGGACTGTTTACTTTTTACTTCAGTGGCTTACTGATCTTTCCTTAGAATCCCTTCACAGTCATTACAACAAGACTGAGCCAAAATGGATTCTGTAGTGTAGTCAGACTGTAGACAGTCTGTTCTGGCCAGTCAGAAAGTTCACCTGGTGAACAACACCACCTTGATCAGGTGACCACCACCTTTAATCAATTGTTTCCATCAGGTAATGCAGCAGTCTCTGGAATTTGAATTGTTTTCCACTCTCCTGCTTTAACCGTCTACTTATAATGCTGTGCCTACAGCTCCCCCAACAGGTGCACAGTTGAAGGAACCTAGTATTCCAACTCCAGAGATATTCAGGTGAAACAGTAACATGTAGTGCTCCATTATTTTGAGCTACAACCTGCTTATATGGCTTATATAATATCATTACTAAGGCTTTAGTCTGGGCAATGATGATCAGGGGCAAAGGAGATGCTATCTGTTCTGACCTGGGAGAATTTTTGCAAAGTTTTAAAAGGACCTTTGATACTTCTGCTCATTCTAATGAAGTTTCATCACAGCTATTCTGACTTTAACAGGGGGATTGCTCTGTTCTGGAGTATGCTGTTCAATTTGGTGCTCTTGCTACAGAGAGCACCTGGATGCAGCCAGCTCTCACACGCTTTTTGCATGTGGCTGTCTGAAATTAATTAGAACGAAATGGCAGGAAAAAACTTTCTCTTGAACCTTGATGGCCTCATTGAATTGGCCATATGTTTTGATATTTGACTCCTTTAAATGTAAGGTGGAGTGCAAATGCAACACCCTTTGTGGTATAATGCAGGGGCGTGTTCAGTGCGGAGGCGGAGTCCTGGATTAAGGGCGACATGTTGCCTTAATAACCACAGCTGTCCTGGCTAATTAAGGACAAGCCACAACTGTGGCGGCCCTTTAAGCTGTGGGGTGATGCGGTGGCTAAGGATCTGTGCCTGTGGCTGAAAGGTTGCTGGTTTGTATCCTGTGCCTGGCAGAGGAATCCTACTCCGTTGGGCACTTGAGCAAGGCCCTTAACCCAAACTACTCCAGGTGTGCCATATAAATGGCTGACCCTGCGCTATGACCCCAAACTTCTCACCCTGTCTGTGTGTCTCATGGAGAGCAAGTTGAGGTATGTGAAAAGACAAATTCCTAATACAAGAAATTGTATTATGGCCAATAAAGTGATCTTCTCTTATCTCTTTAAGACGCACTGAGCACCTCCCCAGAGGGGCAAGTAAAACCCCACAACGGGAGAACCTTGCAGCGAGAATCCTGGGTGGGATTGTGGAGAAAGAGAGAGTGTAAGGCCATCATTTTTGCTTCTTATTGTTTTCTGTTCTCCAGTCCCGCTGTAATGATTCCCCGGGGCAGGTTGAGTTTTCTTTTGTTTTGGCATCGCTCTCCTTTTCTTCCAGTCTGGACCCTGCTAAATAGGGATAGTCCAGACTGAATACCGCTGTTCCAAACAGTATTTTTTTTCTGACAGACTGGACCCTGTTAGATAAAGATAGTCCAATCTGGACATTGCCTTGCAAAGCGGTGTGCTTTTGGTTTTTCCTTTTTTTTGTTTTTTGCTAGGTTCACATTGGTGTCTCTTCCCCCTCAGAAGGGGCATCAACTTTTACTGGTGCTTGCTGGTGGGTGGTGTGGTGTCTCCGGGGGAATAGGTAAATGTAATAAGTACGAAAGTACTCACACCACACACTGTTCTCTTATTTTAGTGAAGTTTTCACCTTTTCCTTCATTCATCCGTCTTCCAAACCAGTCCGCAATCCGTTTTCTCTATCCTTATTCCCACAAATCCACACCAAGTCCAAATCACAAGCCGTATACTGTTATCCTTTAGTTATTCCATAAATCCGTTGTCCTTAAATCTTTATCCACTCCAACCAAACTCCACTATCTCCTCCAAACACATTCACCTGCTGGCTTCTGCACCAGTTCACTGTTTCCAGGCCATATATATTTTGTCTCCTGATGAGACCCACCTGCGTCTCGTTGTCTTTCAGACCGAGTCCTTTCCATCTGCGGGTCAGCTGGTTTCTCTTAGCGGCCATCTTGGTCAGGTCTAAGTCAAGTATAGTGAGCAGATCATTCCTAAAATACCTGTCCTGGATGACCCTTCCTCTGGCCCTCTTACAGTGGGCTCCAACCACTCCCGCACTATACATCTTCTACTGTGTGCTTTCTCACCCTGTTTTGTGCCACCAGCCCTCACTAATATCCCAACCCTTTATAAGGAACCTTTACAAGCTGGACATGCTTGTCTGATGTCACAAAAATGCAATAGTTTCCATATGCGGGGACTGTGCACGTACTGTGGTGTCAACGGCCACTTCAGGGATCAATGCCCAGAGCTTCAGGGAAAAGCCATCTCTCAGTCGCAAGTGAGGAGTCTTTGAGTGGGAGCTGTCTTCTCATACTTCTCTTCTCAACATTTCATGTTACTAGCATCACTTTCTTAGGAGCACCAATGTTATGAATCAGAGGTATTCATTGATTCTGGGGCTGGAGAACTCTGACACCAGTTTAGCTCACCATCTTGCATTGTTCCCTCTGCTAGTTTTAAATGCTCAGGCTTTGGATGGCACTCTCATTGGTGAATGTCATATCTCAAGATTACTGGAGCAGTTTGCCATGAAGGTGGGTTCTTTTCACACTGAAATTATTTCTCCAATGCTCATGCTGTCACTTACCTGTTCTCTGGTCTTAGGGTTTCTCATGTTGTATTTTTCAAGCCCCTATTCTTCCCTGGAGCAAAAAGGAACTGGTTGCTTGGAGTCATTCATGCAGGAGTCAATGTCTTCCACCCATCATTACCTTTATGGTATTACAGTTTCAGATTCACTACCATTTATACAGTGACTACAGGGATGTTTTCTGCAAGAAAAGGGATCTATAATTGCCTCCTCACTACCCTTATGATTTTCCTATCGATCTCTTTCCAGGAACCATGACTCCTAGGGGATGCATTTTTGCCTTTTTTTCCAGAGAATCAAGCCAGGAATAAATTCAGGAAAATCTTCAAAGGAGTTTCATTTTGCCTTTCTTCTCCCCAGCTAGCGTTGAAAGAAATAGTGGTAGGTTAATTGACTTCTGGGAAAATTTCCTCTGGAGTAACGATATGCATGCTTGTGTCTGTGTGTGCTCTGCAATGAACTGGTGTCCTGTCCAGGGTGTATCCTGCCTTACGCCCATTGCTTGGAGGCATAACCTCCAGATCACCTGTGACCTTGTACTGGTTATAAAATGTGGTTAGAAAATGGATAGATGGAAATGATATATTTTACAGAAATAATGCAGAAGGGTAAAGCTGTTGACCTAAACTGTATAAAATTAGATGCATGGATATCTTTTTAACTACTCTCCCTGGCAGAATATAATGAATCTACTACTTCCCTACTATCACTATCACTATGAAATATGAGCACAGGGAGTATAACTAAAGGCCGTCATCATTCTGTCAATTTTTAGAATAAGCTACCAAATGACTTAAAAAGTGCTTTGAAAAGTTGAACGTAAGGACTCTTTTACTAGCTGTTCTCAGTCCTTAGAGTGAAAATTAAATTTTTTTAAGGAATCTCATCATTGCTTAAAACATTTTAATCACAGTGCTTAAAAGTTTTTGCTCTCCACTGAGTGTGAAGGCAGGCTTCATAGCATCACGAAATGTTGGTTCTGCTAGTGATGAATATCTCAGGTTACACTTTCTTCGTAGAATTTACTGTATCTTGGGACGTTATACTGTACAATGTGTTTAATTTTGTTCAGTTCCCCGGTTATACAAAGACTTTGAGTATCAGTTTCTAAGTTTACTAAATAATATGCACTGATGTCTTCCCAGGTAAGCATGACTGAAAATAAGATTGGGTTGATCATGCAGCGATGTTCGGTTTACAACCCGAGTTGTCTTGTAGAAAACTGTAAAGCTGTTTCCGTGTTTATGGTTTTGTGAGGTATGACCTTGAATGTAATGATTTATTCATGAATTGCAGATTTTGTTGTCTTTGAAATCGGGATGAGGTTCAGTTTGCAGTGTGAATCTCACTAATGCTGGAAACAAATGTAAAAATGTGAAAAAGTGTCAGAAAAAATATATAAGTATGTAATAATTTAGCAAAAAAATGGCATGGCCGTTAATGAATATATACTTCTGTATAATATATAGAAATCTCTGGAAGATATACAGTAGTTTTTAAGCAAATGGATCAATTTCGGGGTGGGATGGGTTGTATTCTAAATTACCTTATCACTTTATCATCTCAAATTCGTGTACACATTTATATTATTTAAAAAAAATGAAAGTAGACATGTCCAGCGTGGATTTATCCACAATTTTGATTACATTGTTTTAGGATTAAAACAAAAACAATCGCTGCCGCTGGTGTATTCAGTGTTTTGGACAAAGGGCATGTTGTTGTGACAGTTGTACGTTATCTTGATATAAAGATTAATACGTTTCAATACTATAATGGATCTAAACAAAATATTATTTAGCGTAATATTTAATTCTTAGCACAACATTACGGTACTTTTGTGAGTTTTGTTTTATTCCCGTTATTAATGACAATCACAGGTCCAACATGTGCACACACCACATTGAAAGGCCGTCTCCGGCTTTTTTACTTTAACTACAGACATTCTTCCGTATTATTTACAGTGAGAGCTTCTAGACAAAACTTAAAGTGTTTCTTGCAACATTCGGTTTTTGATACACGGTTGTAAAACGAGTATTTCCTCTAGGTATTACACGATACTGAAAACGGATCTGTATCTTTAAAAGCAAATTAGTGCTGGGTTTTATTTCGCGAGATTTTGCTTGGCGCCGTGACCCCATGTGAGAACACCTCCTGCAATAAACACACTCGCCTGCAGAACGGGTCTGCCATGGATCTGTGATCACTTTCATTTTATTTCCCTTTTCCCCCCACACCCCCTCAATTGTTAAAGATTGTTTTCGATTACATCGTTAGTGATTGTTCAGCAGGAGAACAATGTGGATCCAGGTTCGGACCATAGACGGAAAAGAAACACGAACCATAGAAGATCTTTCCAGATTAACTAAAATTGAGTGTTTAAGGTTAAAAATCCAGGAGATCTTCAATGTAAACCCGGAACAGCAGAGATTGTTTTACAGAGGGAAACAGGTAAACCCATTTTGCCTTTAATTGCATTTGATAACTGATGCGTTCTGTTGTTTCTTTTTGCTACAGGATTAACTAGATGAAACGTGCCGTGCAGAGTCTAAAGCTTCCTGTTTTGATAGGAATTTGCTAAGGTTCTTGCGCAAGAACTGAGGGATGCAGAATTTGCCAGTAGATGCCACCACAAGTGTTCAGGCTTTCCAGCACATAAATTAAAATATTGAAAACATAATGTCTAACGCCTTCTCAGAACAAGCGGCCTGAAAATGGATGGTAAATTATGCGAGGCTGGTAATTTTAATTCCCTTTATTGTACTATAGCCAACTATATCAATTTGAAAAACATTTTAGTATTACATGTAATTTGAAACAATTTGCTAACTTTTTGTATTTACATACATATAGCCAGCCATGTATTTAATACAGCATTTATATTCGAGCGAAGTCCGAATCTATTCAGAAATCAAAGTTTGCTGACAGTCATTAGTTTTGTTACAGTGGTTAATCTGCAACTACTGAAAAGTGAACTTTACTTCCACTTGAATGAAAATAATACGGAGTGTTCGCCGTGCTTTTGAAAACTAAGCAATTGCTTTTGCAAACAAGTAAACTGACAGTTTATTTCGGAGGTGGTATTGTCGAATGCATGTTTTCAAATTGTATAAATGTGCGACTAGCACCAGACTTTGTGTTGTTGGCATAAAGCGTCCTTTCGGTGTACTCCAGCACACTGAAAATAAGATACGAATAAGATTCCTGTTTTTTGTTTACATGATGTGACAGAAGAGGCAAACCGCACGTGTATCGGCTTGTTGTCGAAAACGCTGAGTTGTTTACAGAACAGCGTGCTAATCACTCTCACTCTGTGTCCAGGCAGATCATTAGAATAGGATTAGGCCTGCTAATGTCCTTTTAAACCACATAGGAATACCGACTTGTCTCCAAGGCAATCGAGTGGTGTTTTCCCCACAAAACATGTTTTGAGAAAGACATGGGTATTCACTGTGTGCTGTGCGATGCCCAGTCATGTGGACAAAGAGGTAGTTTGGTACTGCCGTGGGTGGTGGTCGACTCGTTTGCTAGACAGGCCTGATCTCTGGAACAGTGTACGAATGGAATGCAAACAGTTGGAAGTGCTCTGATGCACACATTAAAAGCTTTCGCCAGAAGTGATTCACGTTTATTACTTCAAAACGTGACTGACATAAAAACAAACATAATCCTACATATGCACGTCAATATTGTTTTTTCCTATGACACTGCTGTCTTTTAAAGTTGGAAGGACTGTATGCTTTGTGAATTTAGAAAGTTCAGTGACATACTACCACATTATGCACGGTTGACCCTGAGGAACATGTGTTCACTCCTGGTTCATGTACACTTACGAAAATAAACGACTTATAAAACCTGTATGCTTCTGTGGTAAATTTCTAATAGAAACTTTTAGGTTATTTTTCATAACAGTATACATTCAGATTTTTGTGAAAGGAGCTCTCTGTAGAAATTGGAGAGCTGTTTGTGAAGGATTTGTGATGGAGTTATCATTCTTATGATTCTTAAGATTTCTTAACTTAAACCCTAAACCATTCCACATTAGCAATATTAGCAGATTTCCTTAGTTTTAAATTGGCTATATCTTTCATTATATCACATTGATTATATTGCATTACCGTATTTTACACAGTAAGAAAGTTAAGCTATGACAACCAATTAGAAGCATGAAGGACTTTAATTAATATTGCACTGGAGTTATTTTTGGTAGAGCTTTAAAAAAATGGGTGGTGCCCTGTTTACGGAAAGTTTCCATTTTAGTTTAAAGGCTTAAATGACTTTGTACTGTATGGTACAAATATAGCATTGCTTTGGTAAATCTATCATTTTAGACAACAGATAATTAAGATTTGTACTGTCCCATAACAATCTAATCTAGCTCCAGTTAGTGTCCATATTGTGAAGGAATGGAGCATGTTGCTACAGCATCACAAAAGGCATCAGAGAAATGATGGCAGTGTGTAAAAATTGCATGCTTCACCTCAGAGAATTCAGGGATGCCTTTACATTTTGGCTGATTTGTTATCTCTGTGACTGTAAATAGGAAGGATGCACATTAATTGGATAAAGTCATGAATATTTAGTTGTAATAAACTTACGAGTCCCCTTGGTTTGCTGAATTTTTGTTTTTAAAAAGGAATGTGCATGCATATCATTTTCTTACATATTAATGGATTTTGTAATTTTTAGAAAGAAGTGGTTCAGTTCCTTGTATAAGGGTACAAACTCTGTCTGCCTGCACATTCTGTGTTCTTAATTTATATATACTCGTGGATTAAGCTTTAATTTTCCTGATTCCACAAAAAAATGTTTGAGCTCAGTTTTGAATTTATCTTCACAGACATTGATGTTCGTGAAAACATGATAATATCAGTTTTTGAAAGAATAGTTTTGCTGCTTGTTACAGATGAACTTTTAAAAATAATTGTTGTCTTAAAATTGTAAAGACTTAAATATATTAATTAACAGAAGTATGATCCAACCAGTGTTACTTAATAAAGTCATTAAACAGCAGAACAGAACTGAACTTGCAGATTATACTTTTATTTTAATAACCCCCTTAAATACCAAGGTATTCTTTAGGAATAAGAATTAGATGAGATGTTGCTTTTGTTTGATAGATTGGAACTGCAGAGTTAATATTTTTCCCCTTTTAAAGGTGAACTGCAAAGCTGTTTTTATATTTTGGGGTTAGAAAGAATCAGCATTGATGAATGTATTTCAAACCACAATAAAAGTAAAATGTACACACTAAGTTGTAAAATCTCCAATTTAAATCACAAAATAGATGTCCAGTGTCATATTCTGCTATTCAGAATGAGGCAACAAAACTTCTGGTGAAGTGAAGCGGCCTTATTACATTGTAAAGAAGCAGGTCTGTGAATACATCAGTTTTAATATAATAGAAAAATGGCTCTTTATTTTTAGATGGTTTTGCTTATAAATACTATTTACTTGTTAAATCTGCATGCAGATCACTTTGGAACAATTCTGCGCTGAAATGTCTGCTGCACAACCTGTGCTCGTACATCACATTTAGTGAGCAGGAAAGGCTTCCTCATGTTGCAATTTGTGGGAATTCTCTCTTTCGCCTGTGGAGAGTCCAGGCGTTTGCAACAACATGGGAATTTATAGTACATCCACAGAGTTTATGATGTGTTGCTTAATTCTTAATTTGTACAATGTTTCTGTTATATCAATGAAATTATATGTTACCGAGGTTACCGAGGTTTAATAACTGGTCTGAGAAATTGGGACTGCAGTTCCCCTTTAAAGGGCAGCTAGGTGTTGTCAGTTGGTTATCCAGAGTTATCTGGAACCAAGAGAAAAAAGTTCACTTAAACATTTTTGTTGTTATTATTTTTCTTTACACCTCAAAAATGATTGATGTATTCAGGGTTGAACATTTATTTAAACTCAAAAGTAAACATCAATTCATCAATATTGTAATATTGCAATAAAGTACATTTGCGGAAGGGAGCCTAAGAATTTTGTGATGAGAAAACTCAGGATTTAGGTAGATGTAAGTAGCCAGCATTAATCTAGACATTTTATGTGGAATAGCTCAGGAGACACAGCTGTTTATGCACTTGTAAGTTGTTTTGAAAGGCTTGTGCTTTAACCTTCAATATTTGGTGTGTTTTTCTGTATGGTGGCACTAGTATAGACTGTTTGCCAGTTGGAAGTTCAGAGAAAGGTTTTTAGAAACTGTAGATTTCTCTGAGCAGTGTAAGCCTTATGAAGGGAATTAAAACCCCTTCTTGGGTTGGCCAGCCCATATCCTAGACAACTTCTAGACAACTAGCATCTGTTTTTTATATCCTTTCCCCTGATTAATTAATTTGTTCCAACGTTCATCATACAGGTAAAGTTACAACTTAAAATTGCATTGAATTTTGACATTTGAATTTAATGCGTCTTTCACTGCAGGCTATAAAATCTGCAGGATTTTGACTTTTCAAGACTTAAAGTTTCCTCTCTGTCAAGCTAGGCATAGGGAAAACCTTCCCTATCTTCAGTGCTATGTGACGTGGACTCCAATATGTAATGGGAATTATCAGGAATTTTAGTTCATATTTTGTTAAGAAAAGAGTAATTCATAAGCTGTTGAGCAACACAGTAATCCATTCACACTAATAAAAAATAAGCAGAGCTTCTTAATGTGGTATAATGTCATGAGTGCTGCATATTATTGTTTAAATACAACAAAAACTGTGAGAAAGCTGATTAAGATGGGAGTTATCCACTCTGTGGGTAAGAAATGTAGTAGCTTTCAGCATGCTTTAGTGTCATAAACAGAAGATTATCAAATGTCAAAAGCACCATGCTGTTTTCAAGCTGCACTGTAATATAGAAAACATGCCAAAATTTTGAACTTTTTTATTTTAAAATACGAGAGACATGGGAGGCATCAGCCTGAAAGTTTTTGGAATGAAGACATTTTTCAGATAATCTTGAATATAAAAATGATAACAATGTGATCCATTGATTTACTTAAGGAGAGACCCTCTTAAGCATTAAATCCGATACCAGTGATTATGGAATTTGCAAAATACATGGGCATTTTCTATTAAAGCAAGTGGTTATTTGCCAGTTCCCCAAAAAGTTGGAGATCAGTCTCTTAATTCTGCAGAATCAGTAAATCTGCACATAATTTTATGTGCTGAAGGTTGTGTGCACTAAAACTTTTAACGGCTTACTCTATTTTGAACTGCTTCCAGTGCAGTCTAGTGAGTTCTTGGTCCTTTTTGCGTTGACGGGGAGGGGGTGGGGGCTTTCCATGTGTAAAGTAATTTGAGGCATGAGCTGCTTGCTTTCCCTTAAACTGCTTGAGAGTGCTTCTGGGAATGAAGTCCTTACAAAATGGGGCAGTTTTCCGTCTTGTTCAGAGGCCTTAACTGAAGCTCAGCTCTTTTGTGGAATGTACAGTCCATTTATAGTTAGTCTCAGTT